GATTCCAACTATACGACATTCTGGAAAAGACATTATATTATATATATATATATAATATACAGTATAAAGACTTCGGCTCTATTGGCTTCTTTTGCTTAGTATGCATTTAAGATTCCTCCATGTCTTTTCATGGCGTGATGGTTGATTTCTTTTTAGCGCTGAATAATATTCCATTGTCTGGATGTTGTTCCAGTTTATCCATCCTCCTACTGAAGGACATCTTGGTTGCTTCCAGGTGTTGGCAATTTTTGAATAAAGCTGCTATAAACATCTGTGTGCAGGTTTTTGTGTGGAAAGGTGTTTTTAAGGAAAACATTTAAGAAAATGACTAGAGCATGTCTACAGATAGAGATATCAGCAGAAATTAATTACAAAAAAATTAAGTATAGAAAATGTAGTCTTAGGAAGAACAGGAAATATAATTATGTATTGTATAATCTTTCGAGGAAAGCCTTCCTAAACCTAATTTAAAAAAAAGAAACATAAGATAATGGAAATAAAGGAATAATTAATGAAAAAAATAGGATTCTGGAAAAGGGGAAAGATCTTCATGGAAAAGAGGGCAGGCACTTAAATATAGAATAGGAAGTAAGCTAAGAGAAGTTAATTTTTAAAGAGTTTCTCTTGTAAACTTAGATCCTCTGCAAAAGGATATAGTGGAATTGAGGTTTTGATGAGGTTTGGAAAATGCATTTTTTTAATTGATAGGCATTCATTAAGTAATTCATTCATTTTTTAAGGCAAATTCCTGAGCAGTGGGACCTAATTTAAAAGTAAAAAATTCTTTTTTTTAAAGATTTTATTTATTTATTTGTCAGAGAGAGAGAGAACACAAGCACGGGGAGCCACAGGCAGAAGAAGAGGCAGGCTCCCTGCTGAGCAGGGAGCCCAATGAGGGGCCCGATCCCAGGATCCTGGGATCATGACCTGAGCCGAAGGTGGACGCCTAACGAACTGAGCCACCCAGGTGTCCCTAAAAGTAAAACATTCTGGATTTCTCTCCCTATTTCTCCCTATATAAAAAAAAAAGTGACACCTGCTGTATCTCTAACATAAAACTGAATCTGGACACTTTAATTCAGCCTATGTAGCTCTGTCGTAGGCATTAGTCAAATAGGACCTCAGTCTGTCTTGGATCAGGACAAACAAGGTCCCTGCTGACACTGAGTTTACATTCTGAGAAGCGGGGGAGGGCATATTGGAAGACAGTAAAGAGGTAGACAAACATGGTAGTGGTGAAGCAGAGTAATAGCTGATGGATTAGCACTGGGGAGGAGGGGATAAGAATGCCTGCTTAAAATGAGGCTGTGAAGGAAAAGCATAGAGAAGATACTTGAGACACGCAACAAAGGTTTTCTATACAGGCTATATGAAGAGCTAAAAATAAGGTAATAGCAGACAACCCAATAGAAAAATGGGTAGAACTCTTCAACAGGTGATTGACAAAGAAGATATTCATGTGGCGAATAGACATATTAAAAAGGTGTTTCATATCATGAATCCTCAGTGAAATACAAATTAAAATCACAATGAGATCCCATGATACATTCACCAGAATGGTTGAAATGGAACACACTGATGATACCAAATATTGACAAGGATGTGGAGTAAGTAGGATTCCCAAAGCTCTGTTGTGCATATAAATTGGTGTATTTTGGAAAACTGGTATCCACTAAAGTTGAACACACATATAACCTATGACCCAACAATTTCACTTCTGGGTTTATATTCAACATGATGCATGCACATATTCACTGTAAGCATGTTCATGGCAGCATTTTTGATCAAACACTGGAAACAACCCAAAAGTCCTAAGAGGAATGGGTAGATTGTTGTACGATTCCAATCATAGAATACTGTACAGCAATGAAGATGAACAAATGAAACATAGTTAAATCTCACAAACATAATACTGATACAAGGCCAGACAGAGTGTAATACATATTAAATACAGTATTTATGTAAAGGTCAAAAACAGTCACAATTTAAGGGGATAGAATTCATCATAGTGGTTATCTTTGTGAAGGAGGGAGGGCATAGTGATTGGGACACTGCAAAGATAGACTGACTTTAAATAAATACAAAACAGTAAGAACCAGTTTCAGTTGCAATACTAGAATATCTCCTTTGTTCTTAATGACATTAAAAGTTCTAGTTGTTGTTTGTATAACATGAGAATAGTGTAAGGAAGTGCAATAAATTACAAGATTGATAATCACCTCCAAGTTAATTCATTTTAATGTGGTTCTTTTTTTTTTTTAAGATTTTATTTATTTATTTGACAGAAACAGCGAGAGAGGGAACACAAGCAGGGGGAGTGGGAGAGGGAGAAGCAGGCTTCCCGCGGAGCAGGGAGCCGGAAGCAGAGCTCGATCCCAGGACCCTGGGATCATGACCTAAGCTCAAGGCCGACGCTTAACGACTGAGCCACCCAGGCGCCCCTTTAGTGTGGTTCTTAATCCTGGCTACACATCACAAGCACCAGGGAAATTTAAAAAGCAAACAGATTTGTAAGCCTTATCTCCAAAGACTGGGGCTTGGGCTTGGTATTTTTTAAATGAACCACAGTACCTCACACCCATTTGAATGCCTGCTGTTAAACAACAGAAAATAAAAAGTGTTGTGAGGATGTGGTGAAACTGGAACGCTGTAGACTGTTGGTGGGAACGCAAAGTGTTGCAGGTGCTGTGGAAAACAGTACAGGATTCCTGGAAAAAACAAAAAAAGATTACCATATGATCCATCAGTTCTCAATGCTGCACTTCTGGGGTGTATCCATAAGAATTGTAGGTAGGGCGTTGAAGAGATATTTATACATCCATGTTTATAGCAGTATTCACAGTAGCCAAGAGGTGGAAGTTAACCAAGTGTCCATTGATGAATGGATGGATACGCAAAATATTGTATATACATATAATGAAATATTGAACCTTATAAAATGAAGGAAATTCTGACATATGTTACATTATAGATTAATCTTGAGGACATTTTGCTGAGATAAACCAGTCACAAAAAGACAAATACTGTATGATCCTACTTATACCCAGAGTAGTTAAATTCATAGAAACGAGATAGAGTGGTGGTTGCCAAGAGCTGGAGAGAGGCAGGAATGAGGAGTTATTTAATAGGTATAGGTATAGAGTTTCAGTTTTGCAAGATGACAAAGTTCTAGACATTAGTTGCTCAAAAATGAGTAATATGTACTAAATAGTAGCATTTTAATATGTGTCTTATTTCTAATAATTAGATTTTAAAGTAAATCACTTTAGGGGTACCTGGCTGGCTCAGTCAGTAAAGCATGTGACTCTTGATCTCAGGGTCATGAATTCAAGCCCCACATTGTGGGTGGAGCCTCCTTAAGTAAATAAATAAATCACTTTATTTAAATTAGCCAGAAAAGTCCTCTATTTTGATTTTCTTCTTTCATTGAATTAATTTTAGAGTAACTACATACCACGGTTATGTTTAACATTTCCTATTATTTCTTTTTTACCAGAAACTTATAGACTTTAAGTGCTAAGACCTCAATTTGTATTAGAAAAGCGGAAGAAATACTGTGAAAGTTTGAAATACCTTAAATCATCCAAAACTAAGGCATACATAATGAAACAACTCTTAGTATTTATACAGAAAGAGGTTCGTATTTGTTTACAGATGTATTAATCATTTGGCTTTTTTGTTGTCTTAATCATGATGTGATGTAAAATATATTACACTTTTTAGTTCCTATAGAAACCATTTTAAATGTGCTTTGAAGGTTACTCAGTTTTATTTTTGTATTTTAAGGACATGTACTTATAGGCAACATTATAATATCAGGATTTGACCCCGTTGACAATGTCTCTGTCAAGTCGACAAACAGCTATTGTTAACCCTCCACCACCAGAATATATAAATACTAAGAAGAATGGGCGATTGACAAATCAACTGCAGTATCTACAAAAAGTTGTCCTGAAGGCTTTATGGAAGCATAGTTTTTCCTGGCCTTTTCAGCAGCCTGTGGATGCTGTGAAACTAAAGTTGCCAGTAAGTATATCTTAGGATTATGTTACTTATAAAAGAGAAAAACCCTGTGAATCTCTCAAAGAAATAGACTAGTCTTTAATATTATAAAATTAATTTAATAAAGATCTCTAATTTATTCTTTACCACTGAAGTGTTTTCCAATGAGTATTTTTCCCAAACAACAAAGCTCATTTTTCTGAGCATTGAAATTCTTACTTTAACAGTTTGGTACATTATAGTACATGTCTTTTTGTTATAGAATGCGTTACCTGACTTTTTTTTTTTTTTTTTAAGATTTATTTACTTCAGAGAGAGAGGATGTGTGTGTGTGTGAGCAGGGGAAGGGGCAGAGGGAGAGAATCTCTAGCAGGCTCTCTCCTGAGCCTGGAGTCTGAAGTGGGGCTCCATCCCATGAACCCAAGATCATGACCTGAACCGAAACCAAGAGTCAGATGCCCAACCAACTGAGCCACCCAGGCGCCCCTCACTTGACCTTTTGGTGCAAGGTTGTCATGTCACCTTCTTCATGAAGTTGCTCTTGACACTTCTTGGTAGACTTAGATGCATCATATACAGAATTCAACTTTAGGTCTTCTCTTAGGTATTTCCAGCCATCTGACAACATAATGGCTAAGTAATTTGTTACATAGTTAGTAAACCATGGTGCTGGGATTATACTCTGTATCTGTCAGACTCCATAAATTTTAGGTTTTTCTTCTTCATGCCCTTCACTTTTTATTTTCCAGGATAGTTCTACCCTTACATTCCTGTTTTTGTTATTCTTTGTTATTTTTTCTCTGAAAAAAATGCCATGGCAGTCAGCTTTGTTTCTCAGTACAAAAGTTTCAGTTTCCAAATTATGGCTTTTTAAAGGTCATCTAGTTACAGGCATATAGCTTCTTAAATTTCTTTGTGTACCGATAGTTGCAGTGAATTTGTTCTTACTACTAAAATTTAGAATTTCTTCTTAAAAACCATAGGATTATTACACCATTATAAAGACCCCAATGGATTTAAATACAATTAAGAAGCGCTTAGAACATAAGTATTATGTGAAGGCTTCAGAATGTATAGCAGACTTCAACATAATGTTCTCAAATTGTTATTTATACAACAAGGTATGTAAGCCTGATGTTATACTTGATAACTCTTTGCTCTTATAGAAGATGTGTATAAAAAGTGTGCTGATTTCAAATTTCAAGTCTTGATTTGGGGGTATTTTACATATTTTTAAGGATAATGTTTATTTTTTTACTGGATTTCACAATTTTTATGTATCTATTTATTTAATCTATTTGCCATAATTTTGCCTGAATAGCTGTAAAGGTTTCTTATGTTTTAAAAAGTGAAATACCAATGATAGTTGGTTTCTATAAGTATTAATGTTCTCTACCATACTTCTGCCATTTTAATTGTAAGTGTTAACTTTATTATATACTAATCTTGGTTAAATGTTCATGGCATGAATTCAGACAAATTACATACATCTAAACTTCATGACCAGTTAACTTAAAGATGAGACACATTCTCTGTTATATTTCAGTAGTAGTATTTGTATTTGCATTAATGCATGGGCTTGTCTGATAATATATGTGGACATTTGACCTTAATCTTTGCTTTTGCTTTCATCCTATAAAACTGGATTTGTGTATATTCATTTTTTTTCTCCATACAGTATCCCTCTTTCCCAGAGTACTGCATTCTTTTTAAGCTGTTCTGTAGCTAAAAATTTTAAAACTTATATCCCATTTATTCAAAATCACTGGTGATGCTGATATGTAATAGAAATTTTTGGTTCCCAAACTATCAGTGCCATCTTAAATTTAAGACTCTTAGCCAATACGATTTTTTTAAAAAATGAGCACTAATGGCATTCTGAAAGTACCATTGGCAACTTCATTTTAATTTAACAATTCCAAGTGTACTTTAACATTTAACATTTTAAAACGAAGGTCAGTAATTTTCCTGACATACCTAACTTCAAAGTAAGTGTTCTCTGCTTTAGGCTTTTGCTTTGTAATCTACTTAGTTTTTTATCAATAGTGAATAAAGCAAGCCAAAGACTTCTACGCAGATAGTTAAGATTTAAAAACTGGAAGAAAAAAAAGATTTAAAAACTGAGTTAGCGCTGCAGTGTCATTATATCACTTAGTTAATTGAAAACTACATCACATCAAGTCAAATCACGTACTTCCCACAGCCATGAACATGTTTTGTTTTAACTTATTAGTGAGGTAGAAATTTTAATTTCTGAAACCTTTTTGTATTATTAGTAGGATTGGTTGGATTGTAACCCTTTAGTACTCAGAAAGGCTACCTGAGTTATTTTTAGAAGTTAAAAGGGTAGAATGTTAGAATTTAAAATATGAGCTGATACACGATTTCCTGTACTTAATTTAGAAGCAATAAATACTGTTTAATAATATCTAAGAGTACTGTGTCACTGCCTTCTCTAAGGTAGCCTGAATTGTTGAAATTTGGTACAGTGACCATATTGCATAACCTTATGTTTATATATTTTCTAGCCTGGAGATGACATTGTTCTTATGGCACAAGCTCTAGAGAAGTTGTTTAGGCAGAGATTATCTCACATGCCACAAGAAGAACAAATTGTGGGTGGTAAGGAAAGAATAAAGAAAGGTAAGACAGAAAAGTTTTATGTTTTCTTACTTTCTCTGTCTTGTGAATTACATATGAATGTGTGTATGTGTGTGTGTATAAATATAATGACTAGAACTAAATAATAAATCCCTCAAAGGAGATAGACATTCAGAAGTCCTTCTGTATCCGGCACCTGTGTGGCACAGTCAGTTAAGTGTCTGAGTTGGTTTTGGGTCAGGTTGCATCTCAGGGTTGTGGGATCGAGCCCTGCACCAGGCTCTGCATGGAGTCTGCTTGGGAATGTCTCTCCCTCTTCCTCTGCCCCACATACATGTGCACTCTTCTTTCTCTCTCAAAATAAATGAATCTTTAAAAAAAAAAAGTCCTTCTAAATCCTATTGTATTGGTATAAAAGGTCCATTTAAACAGTAAGGCAAACGTTGAAAGCAAAGATGGCTATCATGCAAGATTAGGGAGAATTGTATTGATTATAGCCTTGGAACCGAAGATTTCCTATAGTATAGTGCCATTCACATAGCAGGCATCCAGTAAATTTATTAGTATTTTTAGTGAATCTTGTATCTGTGCTATAATAATAAGATGGCCAAAATTGGCAGTGTTCCTTGTACCAAAAGATCCCATAGCTAAGAATGAAATGTTACTGTTGGGTCTGAAGATTGTCCTTTTTTCTAACTCTTTCTTAATTAAAAAAAAAAAACAAAAACTTTTAGAGGGAAACATTTTACAGCTAATAATTAGAATATTTAAATATGGAGTTAAAAAACTAAAGTATTCAAATGGATTTATTGTAGAGGTTAACCAAGGTTGTCATAGATGAAATGTTGGTTTGTTTTTGGATCACTGATGGTATACATTTTAGATAAGCTTAATCATTCCATGTTAGTTTCCTCATGTATAATGTCAGGAAAATATTTCACTCCGTGGTTGAAATGTTAATAAAGCATACAGTTAAGTGACTAGGATATAGGAGACTTACACTACTACAAAGGTGGTTTTTATTGTACTATTTTTCCTTGTTGGTAGATCTTTAAGATGGGTCATGACTTAAAGCTTTACTCAGTCCTGTGAGGTATTTGCTTTTTTATTAAAGTTCTTATTTTATTCTCACCTTTGGAAAAAGTTGATCTTAAGTCTAACAATATAAGGCCTAGGGTTCTGAAAGAGGATTAAAATAAGCCCTTACATTAAATGTGTAGACTGCTATACATTTAATGCAATCCCTATCAAAATACCGTCAACTTTTTTCAAAGAAATGGAACAAATGATCCTAAAATTTGTATGGAACCAGAAAAGACCCCGAATAGCCAGAGGAATGTTGAAAAAGAAAAGCAAAGCTGGTGGCATCACAATTCCAGACTTCAAGCTCTGTTACAAAGCTGTCATTATCAAGACAGTATGGTACTGGCGCAAAAATAGATACATAGATCAATGGAACAGAATAGCCCAGAAATGGACCCTCAACTCTATGGTCAACTAATCTTCTACAAAGCAGGAAAAAATGTCTAATGGAAAAAAGACAGTCTTTTCAACAAATGGTGTTGGGAAAATTGGACAGCCACATGCAGAAGAATGAAACTGGACCATTTCCTTACACCACACACAAAAGTAGACTCAAAACGGTTGAAAGACCTAAATGTGAGACAAGAGTCCATCAAAATCCTAAAGGAGAACACAGGCAGCAACCTTTTCGACCTCAGGTGCAGCACCTTCTTCCTAGAAACATCACCAAAGGCAAGGGGAGCAAGGGCAAAAATGAACTATTGGGACTTCATAAAGATAAAAACAAAACCAAAAGACAACCGACAGAATGGGAGAAGATATTTGCAAATGATATATCAGATAAAGGGCTAGTATCCAAAATCTATAAAGAACTTAAACTCAACACCCAAAGAACAAATGATCCAATCAAGAAATGGGCAGAAGATATGAACAGACATTTCTGCAAAGAAGACATCCAAATGGCCGACAGACACATGAAAGAGTGCTTAACATTGCTCGGCCTCAGGGAAATCCACATCAAAACCTCAATGAGATACCACCTCACACCAGTCAGAATGGCTAAAATGAACAAGTCAGGAAACAACAGATGTTGGCAGGGATGTGGAGAAAGGGGAACCCTCCTACATTGTTGGTGGGAATGCAAGCTGGTGCAGCCACTCTAGAAAACAGTATGGAAGTGCCTCAAAAAGTTGAAAATGGAGCTACCGTATGACCCAGAAATTGCACTACTGGGTATTTACCCCAAAGATACAAATGTCGGGATCTGAAGGGGTACGTGCACCCCAATGTTTATAGCAGCAATATCCATAATAGCCAAACTATGGAAAGAGCCATGATGTCCATCGACAGATGAATGGATAAAGAAGATGTGGTGTGTATATATGTGTGTATGTATATATCTATATACATACACACACACCTATATACATACAATGGAATATTATGCAGCCATCAAAAAGAATGAAATCTTGCCATTTGCAACGACGTGGATGGAACTGGAGGGTATTATGCTGAGCGAAATAAGTCAATCAGAGGTCATGTATCATATGATCTCTCTGATATGAGGAATTCTTA